AAACTACATCGACAGTTCATACTAAACATTTTTGTGTCTCCTTAAAATACTTGACCCGTAGGTCTAAAATATCTCCTCCCATTATAATATATAATAGCTATTATTGAATTATTTTCGTCACTCATTTTGAAAAAATTCAAACAAATATTTAAGAGAAAAATAATAGAGCCAGGAAAATAACACGGAGAAAAAATTAAATATGTACCCAAACAAGAAAGGAAAGTAATATGAGAGAACTAAAAAATTTAGGATGTAGAAAGAAAAATAACATGGGAGAAACAAAAAATTATAATATGAAACCAGAGGAAAAAGGAAATAATACAAAATAAGTTGAAATTTCAGTATGTAACCATTGACAAATGAAGAAAATACTGGAGATAGAAAACTTTCTAATCACAAATGAAAATAACACCGAGAACATTAAAATATTTTTGTATGTAAGCAAGTGGCTTTATATTACAAACCAAAGGACCAAAGTAGCTACCACTAACAAATGAAGATAAATATCGGAGATGGAAAACTTTATGATCACAAATGAAAATAACGCCAAGAACACTGAAATATTTTGGTTTGTATTCAAGTGGCTTTATATTACAACCAGAGGACCAAAGTAGCTACCACTGATAAATGAAGATAATACCAGATATGAAAAACTTTTTGATCTCAAATGAATATAACACCGACAACACTAAAATATTTTGGTATGTATGCAAGCAGATTTGTATTACTACCAGAAGACCAAAGTAGCTACCAATTATAGCAACTTTGGCCCATTTCTTGGCAATTTCTAGATGCACCTGCCCCCTATAGGCTTGCCATGGCTGGGAGGAGCAGATTAGTGGGCGAAAGTCGCTTGCTTAGCGACTTTGGTGCAAGGAAGCCTAATTCGCTAAATGTTGTAGCGACTCTGGCTAAATCAGTGCCGACATGTCACATTCATACCAAAGTCGCTACACCATGTAGTGACTTTGGTCCAGTCAGGCTTTTCAAGCCACTGAAAGTGCGCCACATGTTCGTTCGTAGTAGCTAGATTACTCAACGACATGGCAGTTCGAAAAAATATTTGGGATCCATGGAATTTAGGTATATTTTATAATTACATATGGTAGTACGATTTTCTAATATGTTACTGTGCTGCAATATTTAGTAATTTTTATGGGAGATACTTTTAACTTGAAAAAGAAAAAATAAAGAAAGGAAGAAAAGAAAAGAAATCTCAGGAATTTCCCTCATTTTGTTTGTAATCATTGAAATGAAAATTGTTTAACTTGATTTGATTCAAAATATCGTTCTCATGTTTGATACTTATTACAAAAAATGGGATATGAACTGATTTATAAATAAATAATTTTCATGTTTAGAAAAAATTAAAATGATAATAAAATTGAATTCGTATTAATAATTTTATTAATATGAATTTCTTAGAGTACATTTGTTTAATATCTTATTAAAACAATAGATAAAATTGTCAATTTCAACAATAAAAATTAAAGTTTGCTCAAATCCAATATTATACACCATTGAAAGAAAAAATCGTTGATCTTATCTACTCAACAAAAGAATCATTACTTTTATTTTCCTATAAATTATTAATTAAAATAATAACGATAAAATTATCAATTACAATAAAATTAAAAAATTTACTCAAATCCAAAATTATACATTATTAAAATAGGAAAAAATCTCACCGATTGACCGATTAGAATATCTTTCGAGAATACGTATTGGATGATATTGGTGTTCCTCCCAAAAGGTTTTAGTTAAACTTTTTTATGAGAAGGGTTTGATATTTTTCATAACGTAGGACATAAAATCATTTCATATATTTATTAAAGTGTGGGGCCTATGTGAGGTTGTGTCTAGAAAAGAGAGAAAAAAAAATATAGGTCTTACATATTTTTATGTGTGTGTATGAGATAATTTTATCTCCTACAACATGAGAGACATTAAATTCTTTTGAAAATGTTATTAATATGTTAGAACATCTATAAAATATCTTAGGAAGATGTTATATTTATAACTATTTTTTTCTTACAACCATTTTTATTACCGTTCGATCAAAATCAAATCAATAACTCTAAAATCAAAATGAGAGTCATTGATTTAATTTTGATAGGATGGTAATAAAAGTGGTGGTAAGTGGTTGTAAGGAAAAAATTGTTGTAAGTATAACCTCACTCAATATCTTATATATAATAATTTACAAATAGTTTAATGCATTTAGGTTATATCATAATATTAATTTATATATTTTATTATATTTCAAAATCTATTTATAAATTTAATTTCCTATTTAATATAAATAAGAATTAAGGTTTTGTCTTTTCTATTAGATTATATCACATTATGTATAAAAAAAGATGACATCACATTAGGGATAAGTTATTCTGCCTACTCCCAATTTGCCTACCCCTTTCATTATCGTTCGATTACGATCTAACCCAACGATTTATATTTGCGAAATAAAATAAACCATTTCCCCCTTTCTTTCTCTTCATTTCCTCTCACACCTTTTCTCTCTTCCTCTCCTCTGCGCTATACCAGAGACATTCGATATGCCCAAATTCTTTTTGACCAAATCGAGGAACCCAATACTTACATGTGGAACACCATGATCAGAGGCTATTGTAAAGCCCAATTTTGTTCGAATGCTTAGAGAGCACGTTGAAATGGAATGCAAGAGCTTTGTTTTCGCGCTCAAGGCGTGCGAGTATGCAACATGAATTTAGTTCTACCATTAAACAATATTTCACCTTTAGTTTTTCTTGGTTTTATTATTGTGTGCATGTTTAGAATTGGATGATGTTACGGGAACCAGCAAACGTGTAGCCTGCGGTGAATAACAAAAACCTAAAGCTTCGTTTCTTCCATGAGAAAATAATTAAAAATGCTTTTGTGCATCATTCACTTTTATTTTGCTCTCTATTTTAAGGGAAATCTAATTGTCACCTAATATGACAATTAAAATATCGGCGGTAGACACCATGGATGAAGGAAAAAAAATAGGTATGACCTAGAGGACGAGAGAAAGGGTCTGGGAGAAAGTGAGAAGAAAGAAAGGGAAAAAATGTTTATTTTATTTCGCAAATACAGACCGTTGAATTAGATCGTAATCGAACGACAATGAGAGGGGTAGGCAAAGGTAGGCAAAATGGGAGGTGACGTTGACTTCCAAGGTTCGTATCAATTGATATTAGAGTATTTCACTATATCTCCCTGTTGCAATTGAATGATGCGGTTGGTGACGTTGACTTTGAAGTGTTCGCCAGGACTAGTAAAAAATTAGCGCAAACCAACTCGTGTAGTCGTGTGGGCACGAGGCTGCAAATTGTGATGGGATGTTACAATTCAATATAAGGTAGGAGACTTGGAATCTTACATTAGAAACATGAGTTTGGACTCTCCTACCTTGGGGTGAGGTTGTCCTAAATTAGTAACCAAGTAATCAACGAGTTGATAAGTTAAGAAAATGGAAAAAACACTGTGAACAAATCATTACATCTAAGCACTACTCATACTCAATCGAAAAATTAGTATATGGAACGCCTTTTCTTAGTTAAATTTACAAAGTAACAATGAAAGCATTTGGAGTTAAATTTACTATATTGCTTATTCGGATATGTACGTGTCTGTTTGATTCCTCTCTTTTTTAAGCTACTTATCAGCATAAGCTAGGTCAAACAGGTTTTGGAAAAAACTCTTATAACGAAAAGTTCTTTTTTTATAATGAGAGCCTGTTTGGATCCTCTTATTTTTAAGCTAGAAGCTACTTATAAGCTAAAGCTAAAAAAAAGAGCTTAAAAAAATAAGCTAAAAGCTGTTTGGAAATTACATAAAAGTTTTAACTTAAAAATTACTTAAAAACACATATTTCAAGAAAATTATCTCTTTCTATCTTTATCACTCTTTATTTTAAAAAAAAAGCACACAATTCAAGAAAAACAGATAAGAGCTTAAAAAAAAGCTCCTCCTAGGAGCTTTTAATTTTCAGCTTTTTTCTTCATTATAAAAAAAAGAGCTTTTTGTTATAAGAGCTTTTCCCAAAACCTGTTTGGCCTAGCTTATGCTTATAAGTAGCTTGTAGCTTAAAAAAAAGAGGATCCAAACAGGCACTGAAAATAAGAGTTTTTTCTAGTTCTTATCTATTTTTCTTGAATTGTGTGTTTTTTTAATGAAGAGTGATAAAGATAGAGAGAAATAATTTTTTTGAAATATGTGCTTTTTAGTAATTTTTAAGCTAAATTTTTATGTAATTTCTAAACAGCTTTTAACTTTTTTTTTTTAAGTTTTTTTTTAACTTTAACTTATAAGTAGTTTCTAACTAAAAAATTATAAGAGAATTTAAACACGTAAATCAAAACCTCGTTAACTATCATAATGCAAATCTACCCCCTCTTTCTGCTTGTTATTATGGACGCGTTGTATCTGTCCTTAGAGAGAGAGAGAGAGAGTTGCGTACAGAGGTTTCCAATATTGAGAGGACGCTGTTTGGTTGAAACATTAATGCGTATCAGAGCAAGCCATTAATAAAGATCACAGAGGCTCACTAAACCCCAATGCATAATAAGATTAATATGGGGAATGAACAATCTAACACAATTTTTAAGATCCGCACGCACACCTTTTATGAACGATTGTCGACAAGAATATTAGATAATGCTGATAAGGTATGAAGATCAATACCAAGAAATAAGGAGAATAAAAAGCAGCACCCCAGCCCCAGTGGTCAAAACTCTGTTATGTAATAACGAAACAGTGACTTCATTTCAGTGTGCGTGTGTAGGAGAGGAGGACAGTTGAAGAATTAAATCACTCAGCCAATGACAGCTGAGCCTCATTTACTCCCTCAAGGGTGACAGTTGAGTGATTTGAGCGAAACTTCCTACTGCTCTTTCAGTATATATTACCTCACTCTCACTCCTTCTTTGCACCAATACGCATTCAGTTACAAGCTCACTGAACTTTCTTCTTCTTCTTTCGTCTCTTTATCTGATCTTACGATGAAAGTTCTTTTGAATGGCATTGTGGTTGTGTTTGCGTTCTGCATTCTACTTGCCACTGGTTCCTTGGTAGTGGCTGATGTTAGCAAAGTTGAGGATGACAAGCATTTGATTCATCCACCGCACTTGTTAGGGGGTGGATTAGGGTTCAAGAGAGGGTTTAGGCATGGAAGGTTTGGAGGTGGTGGGATTGGCGGTGGGGGTGGCTTTGGTGGTGGTGGAGGTTTGGGAGGAGGAGGTGGTCTAGGTGGTGGCTTTGGTGGAGGTGCTGGGGGAGGTTTAGGAGGAGGAGGTGGCCTTGGTGGTGGTGGTGGGGGTGGGTTAGGAGGAGGTGCTGGTGGAGGTTTGGGAGGCGGTGCAGGTGGTGGATTGGGTGGTGGCGGTGGCTTAGGTGGAGGAGCTGGTGGAGGTTTGGGAGGCGGTGCAGGTGGTGGACTGGGAGGTGGCGGTGGCTTAGGTGGAGGTGCTGGTGGAGGTCTTGGGGGCGGTGCAGGTGGCGGACTTGGTCATGGAGGAGGCTTAGGTCATGGTGTTGGGGGTGGAATCGGTGGGGGCGGGGGAGCTGGTGGTGGTATTGGCGGGGGTGCAGGTGGTGGTGGTGGTTTAGGAGGTGGAGGTGGACTTGGTGGTGGTGCAGGAGCGGGTGGTGGTCTAGGTCATGGAGGAGGATTGGGACATGGTGTTGGTGGTGGCATTGGCGGGGGTGCAGGTGGTGGTGGTGGTCTAGGCGGGGGAGGTGGACTTGGTGGTGGTGCAGGAGCTGGTGGTGGCCTAGGTCATGGTGTTGGTGGTGGCATTGGCGGAGGGGCAGGAGGTGGCGGAGGATTAGGTGGTGGTGCAGGAGGTGGCGGTGGACTTGGTGGTGGTGCAGGAGCAGGGGGTGGAATTGGCGGTGGAGCAGGTGGAGGGGGTGGACTTGGTGGAGGCGGTGGTGCAGGCGGAGGAGGAGGGTTTGGCGGCGGCGGCGGGGTTGGAGGTGGTGCAGGTGCTGGAGGAGGGTTTGGAGCTGGCGGTGGGTTTGGAAAAGGGGGAGGCGTTGGTGGTGGAGTAGGCGGAGGTGGAGGGGGTGGATTTGGTGGAGGTGGCGGCTTTGGTGTTGGCGCTGGTGCTGGATTTGGTGGTGGAGCTGGTGGCGGCCAGTAGGCAATGTGGATATTAATTAAGAGTCATTCAAATTGTTTTACTTTCTATAATTATGTTGACAAACTGTCTGCGCCTATGGTTTTTACTTAACCATAAAGGTTGCTTCTCTTGTATCAGATGTTATGTTTTATAGGTGTTTGTGTTAGTATTATGCATGAGAAACAAAGTTTTATAAATGTGAATCGATGTCTTCGTATACTACTAATTTTTTAAGAATCAGTAGCTTGCTCTTCTGTTTTTCTTTCAGACAATTTACATTTCCAAATGTGATATGATCTAGAAACTTCTGTGGATATAAACAGAATTAAACATGATCGATCGAGTTATTCTAGTTTTAGAAGTATTAAACAGAATTAAACAGAGTACTCTGGTTCAACAAGCCAACTAACTGCATGTTTGGATGTGCATTAGTTACACCTAATAAGTGCAAGCTTGCTCACATGACATTACCAAAATTTAATGCATCATGCATGGCTTATGAGCGACAGTATATGAGGGTTCTATAATTATGCTCTCTCATTTATTGCATACCAACTGCTAATTAATATACCGCGCATTTATGTTGCAAGACCAAATTAACATCAATAAAAAGGGTGAAGAAATAAAAAGAGACCTTTACTCAGTTATATATACCAAGGCATAATATGGTTTGTTGACTTGTATAGTATGTATTTTGATTAATTGGACAACTGGATTGACCTTAGTTGGAATCTGTGGTGAATCGAAGGGGCATCATCATCATACATATATATATATATATATATAGAGTGAACTTTCAGAAATGCGATGCCATCGAAATCGGATAGCAAAATTAGCCAAAATGCTATAAGCTGAAGTCGCAGATGTGACTTTTGTTAGGGTAAAATTCCTTGTGTGTTAATCTTTGTCTATAACCAATGGTCAATTCACATTTTGTATGAAATGTAATAGTTTTCAAACTCATATTTTGTGGGGCAACATGGTGGCTAGCAGACACTAATGGGAGACTACTGGTTGTATATAATTTTAGGGTTTTATAAGAGTTATGTTGTAGGAAAAGTAATTGTGTAATGTTATAGCTAGAGATTCGTTTTGCGTGCCTTAATTTTTTATTTATTTTTTTGTTTTAAAAAGTGTGGGCCCCACAAAATGTTGTGAGTGTAGGAAATTTTGTTGTGTTATGTTAAAGGATAAAACGAAAACCCATAATTTTATGCTTTAACCAAAACTATGTGTACATTTTTCTTATTTTCTATGTGATTATAATTTAATTAGTTGATTCAGTTTATTCAACTAATTATAAAATAGTTTTCTATTAAATATAAATGATATAATTTTAACTGTAAAACTGAGTTGCCATATGACATTATCCTTTTGAATGTATTCGTACTTTAATAAGTTATTAGAAAAATTCAAAGTGAAAATAAATGAGAAGAGGACTTTGGTGGTGCCACTCAAGCATCAGACAATTGTTTGAATTATTGAAGCCCCAATAAAGATGTGAGACTGAGCTGTCTCTTGCTGTCAGCATGATTTGTTGATAGCTCTTAATGATATACGACTATATCACCTATATATCAAAGGGATTGAAAGCTGCTGGTCGAATTGTTTCTGACTTCTGCTAGGTTAAGTAATTTGAATCCACTACTTGTTTTATTGGTTAATCTTGGTTAATCAAAAAAAACTTGGTTAATCTTGAAGACCTTAATTAGGTACAAAAATTTGTTTTTTATACTCAACATAATTAAAATATAGGGATTAGTGTTTCTCATATTATATGAGATAATTTTATCTCTTACTTATATATAAAAGTGTATATATAAAAGTGTGTGAGACCTTTTTTTTCCCTCTCTTTTTCCTTTATATGGCCCCACATGAGTTCCACACACTTTTATGTGTGTAGGAGATAATTTTATCTTCTACAACATGAAAAACATTAATCCCTAAATTATAATATGTGAATTGTATAATTGTACTGATTATCGAATTAAATTTAAAACTTAATAACTACTAATTATAAATTAAACATCAGCTGTTAAAAGTATTAACATCGGTTGAAATTCAAAAATTTCTCCTTGGTTACAATGTGTGCTCAATAATCACCTACGTTCACTGCCTGCAGTTAATATTCTATTAAATACCATGTAAGTACAGGGCACATGTCACAACATTCTTGAAATATTAAAATAAAGAGATTTGTTATAAAATATGGATGATTTGAATTATGTAAAAGTTGGAACTAAAAGTGCAATTATCCCTCATTCATGATTCCATAATCATCATACTAATGGAGCATTATTCTCAGATTCATGGTTGTAATCCTATATATTGACATTACTTGTATTGGAAATGGTTGCTAAATGAAAAATATTACCCTACTCCTTTGCTTCTTTTCTCTTCTTTATCTCTAACTTAATTTGTCTTGTAACACACCTTTCCTTCGTCTCTTCTCCTTCATTTCATAATATGTTATCAGCACTAATAACTCTATATGAAAATCTGCAACAATATAGTGTTCAAAACCGTAACTTTCTACCTAAAAAAGAAAAACTCTTGAGTTACTTTTTGAAAAACTTCTTGAGAGAAAAAAAAGAAAAGAAACAACACTTTGCCACTAATGCATCTACCATCTATGGTTAAGAGGTTTCCACGGAAGTATATTTTGTCTACAAGGTAGGTATTTATTTTTGTGTTGTTTTATCGATTTCTAATTCTTCTTCTACCAATTCATTTTTTAATTTTTGTTTATGCACATGAAGTACTATAGGGTATTTGATAACGTATATCATCTTGTTCCTAAAGTAGGAGTGATGAAATGATAGTGGGTATGACAACATATATAATCTTGCTCATATTTCTAAATTCTTATTGGGTATTTGTCCTGTTCTTTAAGTAATAGTGAACGATTGGTATTCTTTATTATTAATTTAAGAATTTCAGGAATTTTCATTATGTTATGGAAATATATTGAAAAACCAAAATTTTACATCCTCGAAGTGAGTGAAAATAATTATAATTTTAAACTCATTTGTCCAAAAGCAAATCAATGAACCACTGTCAAAATATTATTTTTTAAACCTGCTATTTTAAAAGCAATGTTGAAGCAAATACAAACTCTATAAAAGACTTTATCCATTTTGAGGGCTATGAGCACATGCAATAATATAAATCTTGAACGGATGGTAGAAAATCCAACCTTAGGTCAATTCATGAAAAGAAAAGAAACCAAACATAGGTGGCTAAATAAATAAAAAAAGGATATGCGTGGTGAATCTCACCCATGAAAATTACTTTTATTGTCATAACCGCTCCTGCTAAGTCACATAATATTTTTATTGATTATTACTCCTGAAGTGGCATTAATATTTTGAAACATTGGTTAATATATTGTCAAATAATATCTTAGTTGATAAATGTCACTCCACGAAAACGACAAGTGTTGGTCATTGCTCTTGAAGTAGCAAATACATATTTAGATTAATGTTTCTAATTATTTTGTTTTATATTAATTTAATTAATTGCTTAATTACTTTATGGTTTTTTCTTCATGTTGTTTCAAGTATAAATATTTTTTATTATTTTATTGGCTAGTATATTTTTGTCTCAAGTTTAACAATTTTGTTAACTTTTGAAGAAGTTATATTTTATGCACCACATAAGGATTGTACAAAAAATAATTATTTTCTTGCTCATTTTCTTTATGAATAATTGTGGTATAGTTCCTGAAGAACTATAACTTAGACCATGATTGAAAAGAACCAATAGATCTGTGAAATAATTTGAAATAAAATATTGAGAGAAAACATTATTTATATTTTTGGTCTCTCGAATATGCTCCAGAAGTAGTCATATTAAGAAAAAAAGACTTATAAAGTTTGACCAATAAGTTAAACTCTATTCTCTGAAGTGAATGTTTCAAACTATAATTTTAGACTTGATAAAAATTATGGTCATGGTATTGGAAAATTATGAGACATCATTAAACTTTAAAAATATAAAGGGGAGATATAAAGTAATGATTTAGTACATGTCATTACTTCTAAAAATGACTATGAACCTGAAGGTCACTAGCCCATATGGTTTTAAGCATATCCCACCAACTTGTACGTAGATGTGAACCATATGTTTCCCATATGCGTATCTTTTTTGGTTGTCTTATATATGTCCTTATACCACCTCCATAACATCCTAAAATGTGGCCTTAAAGATGGTTGGGCATTTACATGAGCTTTTGAGACTCCATATAGAATCAAGTATTTAGAGCCTCTAATGGGAAACTTGATTACTGTATGATCTATATATCATATATTTAGTGAAGAACATTTCCCGTCATTAAGGGGAGCAAGCCAAAAGCTTATTGAATCTCGAAAAATTATTTTGAAGAAAAAACCAAATGAATTATCTTTCTTCACATACAAGTATAATTGAACTTGAAGTTCAAAATATCATTCACTTGCAAACTTTAGCAAGTCAAATGCCATATGTATTTACTGATCACAAGTGAGAGACTAAGTCTCATATTACTACAGATAATGCACTATATATGGTGGAGACTTCAATGGGATAAAATATGTTTGTGTCAAGTCAATGTCAGAAGCGTGAATGATTTGTAGGGGCTAAAGACATAAATTCGCAAAAAAAGAAAAATAAGACATTCATCGTACCTCCCGGAGAGGTTAATCCTGAAGAAATCGAACCCGGTGAAATAAATGCATCTGCTAATTACAATAATCTCGTGAGTGCGGAACGACCAAATCTGGATGTCACGAGATACGATCAAGATTTGATTGATGTTGACATGTGCAATAAACTATGTAGATACGGGAGAAAAATATGATAAAATTATAGTTGTCGTTGAAAACTCATTTGCCTTCTCAGTAGCTCTTGTTGTCTCAAGAGATAATTTGGATCTAGAACCCCAAATCATTCAAGAATGCCAAAAGCATTCAAACTATAATGAATGGAAGGAAGCAATTAAGGAAGAATAAAGGTTTTCGCAGAGACCCCAAATCAATTATGAT